TGATCCTCACTGATCTGGCGATTATGTCCAAAATTTAAATAACACAGTCCATGTGCATATAAGGACTCGTGCTCAACACGAATCATTAGCTCCTGAATAAAAAACAAAATTAATATTAACCAGCACATGTTATGTTAGATACATGTTTTATGTGATATTTGTAATTGCTCTATTCTCCAGTCTGTTTGAAAATATCATCAGAAGATGCTGTTCATTGTAGAGACAATATTCTCTTTTCATTTGATGCGCAAATGTTCAATCCACCAACGTTGATTCACTTCAATATTTGCGCAAACACACGTTTGCGTTTCTTTGATTTCTCACAGTTTTTCCAAGCCTGATTTTTTAAGGTCAATTTTGAGTGACCATGTCTCGGGCTTCTTTTAACATAGATGACAAAATGTTAATGTGTCCGATGATACAGAATTTATTCAGCTTTAAATTGGCATGCTGCGCGAGAGGGTAGTGCTAGCCTATAACACGATCATTGGGTGATTACATTTTAAATTTTCTTTTGGACGCCGCTATAGTATATATATTTACACACATATAATATATATATATATATATATATATATATATATATAATATAAATTCAAGAATGCTGCGTCCTTGGCTTGAATCGGGCTCAATAGTACTAAAGTCCATTTAAGTATCAACCAAGCTAACCACGCTTCCTGACACACACTGAGAGAGAGAGAGAGAGAGAGAGAGAGAGAGAGAGAGAGAGAGAGAGAGAGAGAGAGAGAGAGAGAGAGAGAGAGAGAGAGAGAGAGAGAGAGAGAGAGAGATTTGCGATTGATGGATGTGAGTGTGGCCTAGTGTCAGAGGTAAACTTAGACAGAAAATGACTGCAGCAGTTTGGTGACTTCCAAAGATTAATGTATATGTGATAGAATTATGTGTCACGGAGCTTGTGTGGCCTTTGAAACTGTAAATTTTCATTCTTCTGTGGCTTTGATCACGTTTTTCGGAAAAGAATTTAAACAGAAATGTGTTTTAAATGGACATAAAATGTGTTAAGTTAAAGAAAGAAAAATTCGAAAAAAGTTCCCCAATGACCATAACGATACCGGTTTCTTTGATTTCACTATGTTGACGAGCGCCTGTTTTCACCAGGATGCCTCACGAATGCAAGAGGAAAAATGGGAAGTGGCCGTTGTGTAGGCGATCGCCTTATACGGGTGACCGTTGGAGCCAGCTCCACTGCATATACGTTAAATGATGATATAATGAATACGCTTCCAGCTTGTCTGCCGTTATGGTACTACTGCTAAAGTTAAAACGAAACAATAATTAAACACTACAATAAAGCCTAACGTTATAGTGTTCGTATTAAACAATAGCCTATACTATGGTGAGTATTGAAAATGTAATTATTGTTTCATTTTATTTTCTCTGATTGTCGTAAGTTCAGGGTATCAAATTTATTTCAGCATTTCTGCAAATTGATGATATTTATTTTCATTAAATGTGTAGACTATTATTGAGATAAGTAATCTTCATCGAGTACATAAATTGTGATTGATTTATTGAATTTTCATCAAGTATAATTAATGTTTTGTGATTGAATAAATTCATTTCAATTTTTAAAAGGAATATTACAGTTAGTTTATATAATTGATGAATATTAATATTGAATGGTTCACAGACTGATACAGTGAGAGACAGAGGGAGAGAGGGGGAGCTAGAGAGAGACAGAGAGAGGCAAAGAGTGAGAGGAAAGCCAAAATGAAGCGCAGAGAGAGAGAGAGAGAGAGAGAGAGAGAGAGAGAGAGAGAGAGAGAGAGAGAGAGAGAGAGAGAGAGAGAGAGAAAGCAAGTGAGAGAGAGATTGGGGGGTGGGGGGTTGAAATATCAAGCATCTTGATAGTGTCATTGGATTTATAACTTCCATCATTAATGAGTCTCTTCAGTCTGGAGTAGTACCATCACTCTTTAAGCATGCTTTAGTTATTCCCCTTCTCAAAAAATCTAATCTTTCCCCCGAGGAGCTCAAGAATTTCAGACCTGTCTCCAACCTTCCCTTTTTATCAAAAATCTTGGAGAAAGTTGTTTTGGTTCAATTGAAGAATCATTTAAAAGAAAACAATTTATATGAATTATATCAATCTGCCTATCGGCAATTTCATAACACAGAAACTGCGCTATTGAAAATATACAACGACCTCTTGTGTGAGGCAGATGAGAACAAAATATCAATTCTTTCTCTTCTTGATCTTAGTGCTGCCTTTGACACTATAGATCACACTATTCTTATTGAACGATTGTTCAACACGTTTGGCCTGTCTGGCAGGGTTCTTGACTGGTTTAGGTCCTACCTGATTGGTCGTACACAATCTGTGGTTGTGAACGACTCTCTTTCGTCAATTTTTAAGCTAGACTTTGGAGTGCCTCAAGGTTCAGTATTGGGTCCAATTTTGTATACGTTATATACGCAGCCGCTTGGAGCTGTGATTAGAAAGCACAATATGAATTATCACATGTTCGCTGAAGATACACAGTTATATAAATCTGTTCCACCATCAGATGTTGAAACCTTGCTTACTACGATGGGTCTGTGTATTGATGACATCAAAAAGTGGATGGTTGATAATAAGCTCCAGTTTAATTAAAATAAAACTAAAATTCTGTTATGTAACCCAAAGAAAAGCCATATCCCCGTAGACATTGATCATATTTGTACTAAAAATGAAACACTGTATTTTACTAACAAAGCAAAAAATCTAGGAGTGTATTTTGATTCAAAATTGTCAATGGAACATCATATCAATTATTTATGTACCATTTTATTTTGTGAATTGCGTAGAATTGATCATATGTCTATGTTTTTGAACGAACACTCGTTGAAAACGCTCGTGTCATCTTTCTTGTTTTCACGCATCGATTATTGCAATGCTTTACTAGCTAACTTACCAAATACCTCTCTTCACAAGTTACAACGTTTTCAAAATCATGCTGCTAGGCTTGTACTAAAGAAAAAGAAGAGGGACCACATTACTCCCATGTTAAGAACGTTGCATTGGCTTCCCGTGTCAGCTAGAATGTCATATAAAATTGCAATATTATGTCATAAATGTGTCAATAACAAAGCTCCCTCATATCTTAGTGATCTCATCCAGATTTATGTTCCATCTAGATCACTAAGATCAGGCGACCAGTATCTTTTACGAGTTCCTAGATAAGGCGGTAAAAAATTAGCCGAAAGATCGTTCGCCCACCTTGCTCCGTCAGTTTGGAACTCTCTTCCCCAACCCTTGAGACATACAACATCTGAGTCTAAATTTAAAAAATCTTTAAAGACACATTTAATGACATCCTTTTTAAGTCAGTAGATTCATGTTCAGTACAATGTTATGTAAATGTCTATGTATCCATTTATGTATTTTGTGAATTGCTGTGTATATATTATTTTATTCTCATTTCGTGACGATGTGTAATCGTGTGCGTGTGATAAGCAAGTAGATGTGTGTGTGTGTGTGTGTGTGTGTGTGTGTGTGTGTGTGTGTGAGTGTGTGTGTGTTTGTGTGTGTGTGTGTGTGTGTGTGTGTGTGTGAGTGTGTGTGTGTTTGTGTGTGTTTGGCATACATGTGTGCGTGTTATGTATTCGAGAGTGTGTATGCGTGTGTTTGTGTGTGTGTGTATATGTATATGTGTGTGTGTTTGTGTGTATATGAGTGTGTGTGTGTGTGTGTGTGAGTGTGTGTGTGTGTCGCGTGCATGAATATTTTTCTTACATGCATTTATGTAAAGCGCCTAGAGCTGTGTTGACACGGGAGTGGGCGCTATAGAAATGATCTTCATTATCTTTACATGATTTTAAAGCACATAAATTTACACACTCGTAATACAAAGCCAAGAAGACGTGTTTTTCTCTGTAATCTTTAATTGAGGGAAAATGACGTCATCACATTTTTGCACACACTTTGGATGAAGGTAAGGGAGTTTTGATATGAACACAAGGAAGGAAAGGCACTGGCGTGGAGAATATTTAGAGGGAACATAATAATACACAAATCTTTTTACAAGTAACAAAACCATTGTTAGACTAGGTTCTTAAGGCTCAGAAGTCATCAACGAGCACATTGATACATTCACGACCCATCGAGCATGCACTGCCGTATGTGGATAGAAGAAGGTTATAAATATCTTGCTTCAAGGGAAGCTATCCCGCAAATTAAACTCAGGGAGGAGTTATCTACACTGAAAATGTATCATAGAAGGGACAGGGAGGAAACTTGAGAATGAACATTTTTTGCCTAAAAACCAAGGAGGATTTGGGTTATTTTTGCCAAAGGACCAAAGTATGGCACAAACACCCACAAATATAAAATTATATCCTCTCTTTGGTGGGAACCAGCAAGTAGGTTTTTCATAAAAGTTTTATAAACTTATCACAGATTTGTAGAGGGCTTCAAACTCGTCCTCGGAAATATTAAGAAACGCAATACGCGTAATAATAATGATAAAAATAGTACAGAAATAAAAATATTCGTAAAAAGAAGCACTTATTACAGAATTACAAACATCTTATCGTTGCAGTGAAATCTGAGGTAATGAATAGGACAGAAAGAAAGAAAGAAGAAAGAAAGAAAGAACATTTAATAGACACATGTTTAGTACCAGATTGTATTCTGAAGGGACTTCTCTTCTGAAATTTTAATAATAGCAAGAGTGAGACATTAACCAATGAAATAGTGTGAAATTAGATTAATTTCATTTTTCTTATCGATAGTAAACGCATACTTCATTATTACAAAAGAATTATATTAATTCAGTTTCGTATGAATATGTTGTGCAAGTTTAAGTGATGAAAGAGCGCTACAGAAGTGAAAGTACTGTCCCCTTGTACCTCACATACACACATTCTAGCGCTCGCACATTTTGGAGAAAATGTGAGACAGTTTGAGATGAGTCAATGTTGTTCTCTTGGGTAGAATGAGGTCATCAGCTTTAACCAGTGCAAATTGTATTTTGTCTCCAACGCAAAATATTCCTCTATTTTCTCATTGGTGCTAAGCAATGTCTTTTTGGTGTATCACGAGGTGGGGGACTTTTAGAAGGTCCTTAGATGGGATACGAAACGCTCACTCTAAACCAGGAGACAGCTCTCGTCTATACTTAAATACAAGAATAGATCAAATCATGGCTCTGCTTCTCATACTTTTAGAACCTGGCTCTTGCGAAGAAGTTCCAATAATTTCTTACGCTTTTGCTCATTCCTCTGATTTCTTGTGACGACTCCCGAAACGGAATGCCGAGCTGTATGGTAGCTGCAGTTACACATGTTTTATAATGAGATGACCTGAGTAGCCAGACAAACATACAACACTGCGCGCACATTCACCCATTCTTCCAGATCGCCGAGAAACATTCTCTCGACTCTCACTGTTAAATCTAAGTGAGAAATATGCAGTATTTTTATGACATAGAGAGAGTGCCAGCTCCTTGACCAAATCCGAATCCCTTGGGTCCAAAGTTCTTGCCATAGCATGCTGGAGAGGAAAAGAATGGAGATACACATTATAGATAGATAGCTAGTTAGCTAAATAGATAAATGTATGTGCGTTTGTGTGTGTGTATGTGTGTGTGTTGGGGGGGTGGGGTGCGTGGGTGCTTGTGTGTTCTTACATGCGTGCGCACTATTGCAAGTAAGCGTTTACATGATTTGAACTAAGCAATCAACGTCAAAGTATAGCCTTGCTCACTTCAAATGGCACAACCTAAAAAGACTTTATCGTCTACATACATACTCAAGTTCAATCTATACAAAACCTGAGGCAAAAAGCAAGGGACGTCAGCAACACAACAATACTGCACTCTTGTCCTATATAAAATTTGAGATAATTTGAGAGAGCATTCGAAGAGAGAAATGAATGGCGATCAATAATTTGCCGATAAGGAAAAAACACGACTTACTCTTGCAGTAGACTTCTTCCTCGTGCATCGCCATTGTGCTGGAGTCTACGGTCTTGTGGCAAGCATTGCAGTTGAAGCAGGACTTGTGCCACGGCTGGGGGAGGAACCATTTGTTTAAAACATACAGAAGGGAAAGATAGTTATATTAAAACATGTCCAAGACGACCACCCATTGTTGAGAAGAAATGTGGGCTTCTTAGACCGGTGGTCCTTTTGGACATTGTTATATAAACGTTATATTTTTAAATGGCAATGGGGTAAGTTGGAAGTACCCTCTCAGCAAACAACCATCACCACTAAAGAGCAGTTGAATGAAATTGGGAAAATTCAACTTAAGGCCTTCGTTTAGAACTCACTTAACTTTCCACCAACATCCTGGGTTTTCATCAACTGTGAACCATGTTATTTGAGTCAATATGGCATCAGTTGCAACAGACCTGTTAATTTTTTTTAAAGAACTTATTTTTAAGAAGCAGGGGAGGAGGTGGCAGTAACGTCACTTGTAAAAGATTTTCTTCACATGTTTAAAGTCTTTAAAATGAAGCAAATCAAAATGTAAATCTCTGGAGTGATTCTAAGAGCATCTTTTTACCTAGTTACTTACTTCATTAACTTTTTACCGCTTCTGCTACTTAACAGTGTCCTATGGACAAGCAAGCGGCGTGTTTCTCTTGTTTGCTGTATCGCCTGTTGCATAGCCATATTGTTTTTGTCTAACGCTTCTCTGCTCCCCCCTCCCCCCACCTCCAACATCTTTTCCTGATCCTGCCTCTTCCTCTGTATCTAATATTTAAGAGAACTTGGGATAGGGATGAGGGAAGGGGCTAGTGTTAACCTGTACTACGAGCTGTTCATACCGTGTTGACGCCAATGGCTCTCTCAGCGTCGTACACAGTCTTGCCACAGCGAGGGCACTTGGGTCCTGTGCTGGAGCTGGCAGCACCACTGAAAGAGTCTCCTGTTGGTTTGTTGCTGAAAAAATAGTCCAAACATTCTCCTATAGATTAAATGTGTGAACGAGCGTCTAAAAATTAAAGACACAGAATCCATATAAACGACAATGACTCGGTCATCTTTGCACCAATTTCATCTTCAGTAAAAGTAGACTTTAGCCCTTCTTTCGAACCTTACTTGACCCAGTGCTGCAAAACCAGGGTGTCCATTCTCTGTGGGGTCACATTTGTATCGCCGTGACGTTATGCAAAAAACAAGAAGCTTTTCACTAACTACTGGGCGCCATTTGGATTTTTGTGACGTCAGGCAAAAAACAGACTTTTAATAAACATAATAGTTTAAAATCGAGGAAGGGGGTTGGGGTCAAAGATCACTTTCACCCCGTCGTCGACTCACCCCATCTCACATTCCTTGTTTCCGAACCTCTCGCCTTTGTCCATGCCCAGAGCCCCGGCGCCACCTCCGAAGCCGTAACCCTTTGGTCCGAACTTGCGTCCGTGGCATTGCTTGCAGTAGAGCTTAGCCTCGTGCTCAGTCACGTTCGTGCTCTCCAGGAACTTGTTGCACATGTCTGTAGGGAGAAAAAGTACACAGCACATCTACAGGCAGGAAAAGTACACAACATGTT